GCGGGTCCTGGCGCGCGAGCACAGGCCCGCGATGCCAGGCGCCCTGGGACACGCCGGGATCCTCGGGGGCCAGGTGACCAGGCCAGCCCAGCTCCTTCAGAGGCAAAGTGAGGACTTCAGAGAACTTGTCTGGGTGTCCGGGACCTTCCCTTGCCCTGGGCCCAGTGACATCTGACCTCTGACCTCACCCTCCGCCCTCCGGGCCCTGCAGCCCCTTCCCATCCCTTCCGGTCTGGGTCTGAGTTAAGCCACGAGGAGGGGGTCTGGGCTCCCACCACCCTGCTGTGGCACCACCCTCTCTGGGAGGAGCCAGCAGGGCAGGGCTCAGGGCTCTGGTGCAGGCCCCGGCAGTAAGGCCCAGGGAGGCTGGCCTTGGGCAGCAGGGTATCCTGGCAAGCCCTGTGGCCTGCTGCCAGTGCTTGCCACAACTTGCGCGGGGGGTGGTACTGGTGGCCTCTGCAGAGGGACCTAGGCGGCCCGTACAGTGGAGGTGGGGAGAGGCCTGCCCACAGGGGAACCCCGCAGCCAGCAGTGGGCTGGGCCTCAGCACCCACTTTGGCTGTACCCCCTCTGCCTAGGGAGTGGAGTGTCCAGGTCCTACCGGAGTGGCTGGTGTGGTGGGTCTGGGCAGAGAAGGGCAGGGGCCCTGTGAGGCAGGGTGTCCCTGCGGTATGGCTGGGGGCCCCTCCTGCAGCTGTGGCCCCTCCTGCAGCTGTACTTGGGCCTGGGGGTGTTGTCAGCCTCCTGCTCCCACACACCACCTCTCCCGGGGACATGTCCCTGCCCAGTGTGGTCATAGCCCTTGGGGACAGTGTGGCTGGGCCAGTGCCAGGTCGGGATGAGACCCTTCCCAACCTCTGTGCCTCCTCGTCAGGGCAGCCAGCCGCCTCTACCCCTGGGCTGAAGACACAGGAGTGCGGGCTCCTCCCCAGCCAGAGAGAGGGCCTGGAGGACTCCACAGCCCACACGTGTCCCTGGCTTGGCCTGCCGGGCCTCAGGTCTGCCCACTCACTTGCAGAGATGGCCGATGCTTTCTGTGTTGGAGGAGGGCGCCGGCTGCAGGGGTCCGGCAGGAGTGGACCTGGGAAGGACAGCAGCCGGAAGGAGGTCCGCCTGCCTGTGCTGCACGACCCACCGAGGCTGGGTGAGAGGGCCAGGGCCAGACTGCTTCCACTGTCACAGGCAGCTGGCGGAGTGGGCTCCTCCCTGGCACTGGCCAGGCTGCCTAAGTTTGAGGGCCTCCATGGGGTGGGAGGGCCTGTGTTGTCCCAGACACCCATGTGCTGGGATGTTGGGGAAGTGTCAGTGTCTCTGAGCCTCGGCATGTCTCGCGCCATAGGAATGCCAGTGGTTCGAGGTGGACAGACGGTACCCAGCCAGGCCACGCTCTGCTTTGACCCGGGGAGTCCAGCCAGCCATAGGACAGAGGGGAAGAAGAAGGGGCGGCCGAAAGCTGGGAACCAGGCCCTCCGAGACATTCCTGTGAGCCCCAAGGCCCGTGTGGGGCTTGCGCCAGGGTCTGCCCATGCTCGCTGCCCTGCATGTCCACACAGGCTCCGTGCCCAGGGCCCCGACAGCTGTGCTGAGGTCCCTCTGGGCCCCGTGGTCAGCCCCTGGAGGGCTCTGGAGCACAGCCACTGCTTGGGCAGTGCAAATTCTTGCCGAGGACCCAAGGCTGAGGGCTCATGTGGCCTCCATGCCCTGCAGGCTTGGGGACAGCTCTGAGGCCGGGGCCAAGGTCCGCAGAGGCCTGGGTGGAGGAGGGGTCAGCAGCCCAACCTTTCTCCACATCCAGCTCTCCCTGATGAACCAGTGGAAGGATGAGTTCAAGGCTCACTCCAGGGTGAAGTGCCCAAACTCGGGGTGCTGGCTGGAGTTCCCCAGCATCTACGGGCTCAAGTATCATTACCAGCGGTGCCAAGGGGTAAGGGGCTGTGGGTTGGGGAGGAGGCCTGGGGTGTGACTGGCAGAGGCACCAGACCCCACATCTGTTCTCTCTGCTCAGGGCGCCATTTCAGAGAGGCTGGCCTTCCCCTGCCCCTTCTGTGAGGCTGCATTCACCTCCAAGACCCAGCTGGAGAAACACCGTACTTGGAACCACATGGACCGACCCCTGCCCGCCCCCAAGCCTGCACCCGTCCGCCG